CCCCCCCCCGAGCGCGGGCAACAGACCCAAGGAGCCCTGGCCCCCAGCCCCCCCTGCTCTAACCCACCAGCCCCCACTCACCCCCCAGAGCCGAGAAGAGAACCCAGGAGTCCTGGCTCCAGCCCCCCCTGCTCTAACCCACCAGCCCCCGCTCCCCTCCCAGAGCCGGGGAGAGAACCCAGGCGTCCTGGCTCCCAGCCTCCCTGCTCTGACCCACCAGTCCCCACACACCCCCCAGAGCCGAGAAGAGAACCCAGGAGTCCTGGCTCCAGCCCCCCCTGCTCTAACCCACCAGCCCCGCTCCCCTCCCAGAGCCGGGGAGGGAACCCAGGCGTCCTGGCTCCCCCACTTACCTGAGGAGGCGGGCAGCCGTGCTGGCGCTGATGGGGTGGGCCGGGATGCGGGGCAGCCCCGAGGACTGGATTGGGGGGAACTGGGTGTGGTTGAAGGAGGGGAAGCCGGGGGTGTAGGGGTCGCCGGTCCCCATGTGAACCTGTGGGGGGCAGAGACAGCGGGTGAGGGACGGAGGCCGGGCCTGCCCCATCTGCTCCCTGCCCCACTGAGATCGATTCCTTTGCTTCCAGGCCGTGGAGAGAGACGGGGAAGACGCGCCCCCCAGGAACCGACCCCCCACCCGCCGCAGAGCGCGCCCTGCTCCAGGTACGTCTGGAGATCTATCAGCTAGCCAGTTTTGAAGCCCTTTCGTTTGGTTGAAGCCCGGGTTAATGTTCGAGCTCCCCGGGGCGGGACCAATTTGGACGCAGGCAGGAGTCCGAGGCCCGTGAATGGTGGCCCGGTCAGCTCGTTAGAGAGAGAGCTTGTTAGCGTGAAGGGATCCCTGTGGTGCAAACGCCGGGACGGGCCTGAATTACATGAAACACCCCTTCAATTCATTATTAATCGGGGCCTGAATCAGTCGCTCCGTTAGCTTAACGGGGATCGATGTCCCAGGGCAAGCGGCCCCCCCATCCCCTCACCCACCAGGTCCCATGCAGATCCCCCCTCGCCTTCCCCCCCGCGCCGGCACTCACGTGTCCATAAACCGCCCGGTTCTGGGACAGCCCCGCTTTCCGCGGATCCTGGGGGATGTCCCAGGGGTCAGGGTAGATCAGCACCCCCCGGGCCTGGGCAGCGTCTGCGTTCGCCACCTGGAGGAAAGGAGAGAACCCAGGAGTCCTGGCTCCCAGCCCCCCCTGCTCTAACCCACCAGCCCCCACTTCCCTTCCCAGAGCTGGGGAGAGAACCCAGGCGTCCGGACTCCCAGCCCCCCCCTGCTCTAACCCACCAGCCCCCACTCCCCTCCCAGAGCCGGGGAGAGAACCCAGGCGTCCGGGCTCACCTTCTCCGCGTAGCTGATCTCTCCTACCCTGATGATGACGAGGTGGCCCCGGGGGTTCACTCCCTGCTGTTCCAGGACGTCGAAATCCTCCTGGCGCCCGTAGTTGGCGTAGACCAGCCCCCCCTGGGGAGACAGATAGGTGGGGGGGAGCGTGGGCGAGGGCGGACACCCCCCAAAAGCAGCACCCCCAGGAGCAGGGAGAGGGCTGGGGAGGCTCCAAAGTGGGGATGGGGGGCAGGATGGGAGGAGGGGGCGCGGAGGCATTACCGTGGTGTTGCCGGGGAGCATTACCATGGCGTTGCCAGGGGGGCTGTAGGGACAGGACCCGGGGGAGGCGGGGCGTTGCCGGGGGCGTTACCGTGGCGTTGCCGGAGTGCTGTAGGGGCAGGACCCGGGGGAGGTGGGGCATTGCTGGGGGCGTTACCGTGGCGTTGCCGGAGTGCTGTAGGGGCAGGACCCGGGGGAGGTGGGGCATTGCTGGGGG